CTGGTGGCTCACGCCTGGCATCCCAGCCACTCAGGAGGCTGAGACCTGAGGATCGCAGTTCAAAGCCAGCCTGGGCAGGAAAGTCAGTGAGACTCCATCCCCAGTGAACCACCAGAAAACCAGAAGTGGCTCTGTGACCCAAAGCACCAGCCTTGAGCAAAAGAGCTCAGGGACAGAGCCCCCCGTCCCCCCAAAAAAAATCATGCAGGAAAGTTCATAAGGCTATTCAAAACCAAAAAGAAGAAAACCTATACGCGAAGGAAAGAACAAAAAGACTCAACTGGAGAAATATGCTTTGAGATTAGACATGTGAAAATCACACACACACACACACACACACACACACACACACACACACTTTTGTGTGTGAGCAGGTCTTGGGGCTGTCCCTGAGCTATTTCCCTGAGAGCTAGCGCTCTACCACTCTGAACCACAGCTCCACTCCTGGGGTTTTGCTGGTTAACTGGAGCGAAAAGCTGTGTGGACTTTCCTGACCAGGCTGGCTTGGATCCACAACCTCAGATCTCAGCCTCCTGCGTATCTGGGATGACAGGCGGGAGCCTCGGGCGCCTGGCTCCTGTGTGCATTTTTGTACGGTGTGAACTGTCCGTGCCTGTCAATGCTGTGCTACTCATCAGTGGAAAATGGAATCTTCCCAACGTGGATCGTTTCTTGGCACTGCAAACATCCGGCAGGTTCTGTTCAGAGGACCCCATGGCCCTTCCTTCCTGGGCTGGCTTCCCACTGCGATGGTCAGATCTCAGCTTCCTGCATAGCTGGCCTGACAGGTGTGAATCACCAACACCCAGCCTGACCTCTGCGTTCCTGGAAGAAATCACAGCTGCAGAAGGAAGGTCATTCCACACACACACACACACACACACACACACACTGTTTTTGATGGTTGGGTTTTTTCTTTCTACGCAGCCCAGGCTGATCTTGAGCTCTCCTTCCCCTCCATTTGTCAGTGTTGGGGCTGCTGTACCCCAGCTTTGTTTTTGTTTTTAAGCATGTGTGCTGATTTGAACTCAGGGCTTTAGGCGCGTACGTAGATATTTTCCTCACCCAAAGTTGGTGCTCTACCACTTGGGCCACACCTCCCTCTCTGACGTGTGGCATGAAAACGAGAGACAGAAGAGTTGGTTTTCTAGTGAGGCCCTGTGGAAATTGGAGGCCTCTGCTTATCCACAGTGGGTGGTTTTGCCACTTGCTGTTTGTGGTTACCAGCTGGAACGGTAACTCCGCTTCTGCGACTAAGTAAACGCGTGACTCCCATCTTTTGCTCTGTTCCCCAAGCTTCCGGTCAGTAGTCCTGAGGCAGAAGGCCCTGGAGGAAATTGTGGACACTTCTGGAGTGACCTTTGGCCACAGGGCCTAACTGCGCAAGCTCAAGGCCTCCCCCACCCCCCTTCAGGTCAGAACGGATTTAAAGCTGGTGTGGGCTGGAACTCAGGCCGGTGCCCCAACCTTGGGCACAGTCCTGACCGTCAAAGCTTTGCTCTTTCGCTCAAACAAAATGTAGAAAGCCTGGCGCCGGTGGCTCACGCCCGTCATCCTGGCTGCTCAGGAGGCTGAGATCTGAGGATCGTGGTTCGAGGCCATCCTGGAGGGGAAAGTCCATGAGACTCTTATCTCTAACAAACCATCAGAAAACTAAAGTTGTGGCTCAAGTGGTAGAGCGCTGAGGGACGGCGTTCAGGCCCAGTGTTCAAGCCCTATGACCAACACAGCTTTTCAGTGGTTTTGGGGTCCTACTGTCTATTGGTTCCTGGGCACTATTAGATGTGGTCTGTTGGCCGGGAGGGAGGCCTTGTCCAGGATCAATGACCAGAGACCGCCCAGAAGGGGACTCAGGTGGTCCAGCAGCCCCCACGCCCCCAGCCAGGGCTGCCCATTGACCTGTGTGGAGGCTCCTGGGGATCTGGAGAACAAGAGAAACATGAGACTCCAGAGACACTCTGGGCGGCGGGCGGTGTGCACACGTGCGGGTCTTGGGGGGAAGCGGGGCGCACCGTGAACCCCTCGGTCACGGCAGACCTGTTTCGGGCCTAGCCGACCTGAAGTGCGATTCTGGTTCTGAATTCAGATCTCGGGTGAGCCCGATGCAGCCCCTCCACGCAGCCGCCGTGTCATTGTCCATCTTGTTGCGGTGTCTTTGCGTCTGGCTCCCGGGATAATCCACTGGCTCAAAATGGGACCAAACCCCTCTAAAAGCAGCAGCCCCCCTAGAACTGGCCGGGGTCCATTGGAAAGATTTTCAAAGGAAGCGAGGCTGCCAAGCCCGGAGACCGAGTCTGCCCGGGCGCTGGAGCGGCCGCCCTCGGGTGCGGGCTGGCCTTCTGACAGCACTGTGCACCGGTCACGCTGGGCACAGAGACACCTTCTCCCCGCAGGTCCCATCGCGGCGTGGGGACCCTGGCAGAAGACCCTCCACCCTGTGACCTTTTACCTCCCGATGTGGGCACGGCCTTTGCCCTAAAGCCGAGAGCTGGCTGCCGCCTCCAGATGGTGCAGTCATGACTCAGGAAGAAGAGGAAGGTCTCCCTCCCCCTGCGCCCCTCACTTCCCCATCCCCAGCCTGGCCTGGTCCCCAGACTCCCCACTTCCACCACAGCCCCTGCTTTCTGCGGCCAACGCCTTCCTGAGGCCCCCCCCGACCCGTCTGTGACCTCCTGCCAGTCCGGGGACGCCCCCCCCCCCCGGGCCTCATCCTCCCAGACCCCGGCCTGCGGCCACCGGGCTCTGCTGGGGCTTCTGCGTGCAGCTGCTGCCCGGCAGCCTACAACTTCATCAGGGTCAGAGGGGGGGCGCAAGGCCGCAGGAATCCCCCATGGCTTCTCTTGAGAGGCGGGTGGGGGCCTGCACCGCAGCCCTGCAGACCCAGAGACACTGGGAAGATCGCTTTGGTCAGTCAACCAGCTCCAGACACAAGGCCAATGCTGCGGGGGACAGAAGGGCTTGAGGGGAAGGTAATGTCAGCCGTGATGGAGGTAGCAGCGACGTCTTTCATGAAAGAGACAGACTGGGGGTCAGGGAAGCTAAGAAGACAGCTAAAAATCACGGTGACCACCCTCCAGAAGGACATGGTCCCGAGAGACCAGCCGCCATCAGAATGATGGGAGAAGAGATGGGGATCCCCTGAGCACAGGGAGCACCCGGAGCCGGGGGCCTCCACAGGGCCGGTTGATTTCATGGTGGACACCAGCGCCCTCTTCTCAGTTCTTCAACAAGCGTGCGGTCCGCGCTCTAAACGCCCCACGGAAGTCCAGGGGTTGAGGGGATCTGGACGCTCTCTGTGGACTGCAGGCCGTGCTGTGGCCATCCGTGCTTGATCGCTCCGCGGTGCCCAGCCGCGTTCCTTGGGAGGGATCTCCTGCCGACGCTGGAGGCTCAGAGTAAATGTCGGGCATCAGGTTCGGGTTCAACTAACTGAACCAGACCAACAGCCAAAGCTTTTGGCCACAGCCCCCTCCTGGGGGATGAATATACCCTCCTAGCCCAGCATGTGAGCCATCTGACCAGCTCAACAATGTCAGCAAGAGTCTCCTTTAGTATGAGATCCCGAGCCCAACCTCCAG